GGTCAGGGGGCCCCAGTTGTGGGGGGAGGGGGCCCCAGGCCCCGGGCCCCAATGAATCTTAATCCGCCCCTGCCTGGGTGCAGGGGCAGAGGCTTCTGTTGAGTCAGTAACAGCTTATTTAGCACAAGCCTCTACCCAGGAAAAGAGAAAGTGTCAACAGTCATCAGTGAGGGAGCCCCAGGTACTCGCTGTGCTGCCCTGTATGCAGCAGCACAGTTATTTTCTCTCCTCCTCTCCCACCTCCCCCTGGCTTGTGCTGCAAAAGTTGCTTTTACCTTATTTCTGTGCTTAAATTGCACACTCCTGTTTCCAGTAGCTTATTTTGGAAGAAAGTTGTGTTTTATATGCAAGATAATATAGCACTATTAATACTCAGCTTTTCCACAGTGCTATTAAACTTCTGCAGATCCTTGCACCACTGGGGTGTTACTGTGGTTTATGGCATATCTGAACCCTGAATGTTCTTTTGAAGCTCTTTTTGCCAGCTAAAAAACTGCACCTACTTTATAGACTTGGTCCTTCAAAAGAATCAAAGGGCACTCAGTGACTTTTCATAGTACACCGAGTAGTTAAAGAATATAATCATTAACCTGCTAGTAACAGAATGGCTTTAGTTGGGCAATTTAGAGAACTTGGTTATCTGGCTACATCAACTAGAAAACCTTGGAGACATGCATCTGTTCTGCACTCACTTGTGTACACTAGCAAAATCAGTGTTTCAGTCATATGACCCAGAAGACCAGCTGCACTGGGGGAGCAGTGTTGTCAGAAGAGATGGGCATTTCTGCTACCATGACACAGGCACCTGTGACCTTAGTATATAAGAAAACAGTTATCATCTTCTGCCGTATAGCACATATAGTAGGTAGGAGCATATAAAAACCACCTTATTGGAACAGACCAAAGACTTGTCCATACCAAAGACTTGTCCATTCTGGCATATCATTTCCTGCTGTGGCCTGGACTGGTAGTTTTGCTGGAAAGTCAGGAGCCCCCTAATATATTGGCAGTGAATTATGAAGTGTCAGTTATAGCCACTCACCTTACACAGGTGACCCTAGCTGTACCACCAGGAGATATCAACAGGGAGCCAGGACACAAAGATGCCTTCATCTTCCCAATTACTAATTCTAATCTTACTCATCAGTTTAGTGCCTCAGGGCCAGTGACTTACCATATAAATCTTTTGCACTCAGTTTGGAAGCTCCATCTGCTTTGCCCATGCTGCCACTACAACACGAAAGAAAAGACAGACCCAGTGAACAACAAATCTAAAGCATCTCTCTTTTGGATTCATGGTGTGATTCTGTTACACTTGAATAGATGGTAACTCTGATCTGGAGTACCTCTCTGAATGGCACGTAGCACTGGCTTTCTGGTCTAGCTTGAATGAGTGTGGAGGAGTGGTAGCAATCACTGCCATGCCAGGGGAGCCAGATGCATTCCCTTCCACTTCTCCACACAGTAGTGGCTTGCACTGTAATGGGTTTGGGAGCCTTGTAGGAAGCTTGCTATTTGCCCTCTAGCTTTAATTTTTGAGGGGAGGGGATCTGACTAGCTTTCCCTTGATGTTTTATTTTCTCCAAAATGTAGGCTCTTGCCTTTGCATTTAGTCGGGCCAAACCTGGAAAGGACACAGGTCTCTGACCTCAAGACTACTGATCCTCACCCACTTTTTCTGCCTTGGTTCTTCCAGAATCCTCTGGTCCTTTCTTGGCAGTAGGGCCTGATGGAACTGAGCTTAGCCTGAACATCAGGTTGCATCTCCATCCAGGTATCAAAGGAGTGCACTTCTTTCTCACAGGCCTGCCTTGCTTCTGCAGTACAATCAACCAAATCCAGATTTTAATCCTCCAGATGGCAGCTCTGTACTACCAGCTAGAGCACTTCATCATTTGTACTGTCCATTTCAGAGAATCTGTTAGAACCCACTTTCTCATACAAAGCTGTTATCCACATGTAGGGCTCTATTTAATCTGAATGTAGTACTGGGATATTCAAGTAGCAGACAGCCCATCTGGGCCAGCCTCATTATAAATACTGTCATGTCAATGGTATCCCTTACTAATATGGAGAATGCATGACTTCAAGTCGGGGGTTCTAAAGGTGGTGGAGTGTGAGTTTATATTAGGGGTGGGCAATTATTTTGGGTGGAGGACTGCTTACTGAGTTTTGGCAAGCCATTGAGGGCCACATGACAGGCAGCCAAGGACAGATAAATATTAATTTTCTAAATTTTTAGGGGCCCCACGGGCCAGATACAATGGCCTGGCAGGCCGCATCTGGCCCACAAGCTGCATTTTGCCATCCACTGGTTTATATACATGAGGAACATGGCCACAGGTGAGCTTGCAGGGGCTGAGGCTGACCCAATTTTGAGCCTGTATGAAGGCCACATTTAAAGAAGTTTAATGGAACAGGTAGGAATAGGATGTCCCAATCTATTGCAATACATGGAAAGAAGTCATTGAAGCTTATGATGACAGTAAGGTTCTTACTTTGCAGAGCCAGAGTTGCTGCTGATAGATCCCTTGAGACTCATATTGCTCTCAGGACACGCAGCTGTAACAGAAACAAATGAGACATGATGAGTGATTAGAAAATTCAGCCTTCTGGTTATGTGACCTGATGAACTGTTTGTGCAACTGTGTGCCTTGCTGTGGGGTGAACTTTGTAAAAGGATCCCAGCCTCTCTTCCTGTGCCCACGATTGATGGTGCATGCAGGTGGTCACCTTAAGATGCACCCAGCTACTTTCCTGCACTCTCCCTACCCTTATCATGGCACCAAGCCTTCTCAGATATAAGCTGAGGGGTTTGATCTAGGATTAAATAAGAGCATAACTGGCCTCATCCTAGTGAGCCCTTAGAGGCAATTTGAAAATGTGCATAGCTATGCTTTATCCCCCCCGCCATTTCCCTTATCTTTCTTTCTTCTCCTTCCTTTCTCTTTTTTATATTCTAATTTCTCTTTCCTTATACTCTACTTTCTGCACATCCTTTCACAGCATCTGATGACGTGAACTTGAGTTCACAAACTTGTGCTGTCTCTATTTTATTTAGTTAGTCTGTAAAGGTGCATATCTACTCTGCCTTCTGATATGCTTTATTTAGTCATACTCTCACCAATGATGAATGCCCTGGGTTATTTTTCATGTACATGTTTGAAAGTTACCTTGTCTTGGAAAATTATTGAGTGTTAGTACAAGGTGCCATGTCAGGTATAAAGCTGCCTTTACCAATATACTCTTTGCATAGCAAATGATAGCACAAGACAGATTTGCAAACACTATTAGCAATCCAGTAGATTACCACAAGGGACTCTGAATGTCCAGCCAGCAGTAGAGAAGCAGACAGCCCAGTTCAGAGATTTACCACATGTGGGGAAAAATGCTTTACAAAAATTGTAAGTAAAGGGAGAGAGTTTGAGAATTATCCAGAATTTCCTTCAGAAAATAAAGCAGCCAGTTAAGGAAGAGCAGACAGAGGAAATACCATATAACCATCTGGGAAGTTTTGTATTTTCAGAGATCCACAATGTTCCTCATAACCCTTCCATGTGAATGCAAAAAATAAGACAAAGCAAAACAAAACAAAACAAAACAAAAAGATTGTAATTTCCAGGCATTTATTCACACTGCAAAATATTAAGAGTCATCTCTGTAGGATCTGGCCACTCAAGTGCCTTATTGTTTCTCTTGCGTGGGCTCAATCTTGGCCCCACTGAAATCGATATAAGATTATCAAAATTTGAAGGAATGTGCCTGATATCTTGACACACATCAGTTAAGTTAAACCAGTTCCAGTGTCCCTGGCTGTGTTTATGAATTGTTTTGCAGCTCATAATGACTGCTGCTTACTCACTTCAGTCCCTGCACTGCTCGTGTCTAATAGATTTCTTTTTGTAAAGTGATATAGGGTAATTGGCAGAGGGAAAATACCCTACTAAGCCCTATTCTATTCTGTTCCTTTTAAGGCTGTTGATCCATTTTAGCCTCCCGGTAGCTGATTGAACTCAGGAACAGTAATGCTCTGTTCCTATATCCCTTTAAACCATCACATCCATATGTAGTCTTATTGAAGTCCCTTCTACTGGATTTAAGTGAGAGCAAAATTCAGCCTGGTGAGTTTGCAGCTTAGCTCCAGAGGTCCCCAAATAGAAATCTACGTTGAGCAAAGTGAAGGGTAATGGAGATGGGCCATTGGTAAATGAGAGTGACCTTGGAAATGTTAGCATTTGTTTTCACCTTCATAAATTCTGTCAGACAGAGAAGAGCTGTGAGATCAAGCTCCACTTTTCCTGCTTCTGTTCAACCAAGCACCCTGCCCATCCGTCTTCCATAGTAGCTGCCTTCACTTGCTGCTCCATTAGCAAATTCAAAATTGCAGGGGAATGGCTGAGTGTTGCAAAATTATTCACAAAGAAGAAGCTGCGTGGAGTTTTATGGATTCTGGGCCAGCATTAAAATGAAGTGTTTTTTTTAATCTGTGCTCAATAATGGTGGCATGCCCAGGGGGAATGTATAGGTGTAGCTGCTGTAGCTATCTGCTGCCAATTAGTATTTGCTGCTTGATGTGTGACCACAGAATACACATCAGCCACAAGGTAAAGTCCCAAGTTCCTCTCTTGTTTGTTAAAGTCCTACTCACGCACAAACACTTCATAGAGTCTCACCTGACCAGGTGTGAGCTCTACCTACATACCTATCGTTAGCAATTCAAGGGGAGGGAAAGGGGAAGGAATAGTACAGGTAAATTCTTCTTGAAGAAAAAAAATGTCATGAAGTATTTTAAGGGTGAGTCATTAGACCTCTACAGCCTCTTCAGCAAGAGAGTGTAAATGACAGCAGATTGAGCAGCACATACTACTGGCTTGCTCCACAATTCCTCAGTCAATATAAGGCCACCCCTTATGGCCCAGGTCTCCCCTCTACACACACAGAACGGGAGATGGGCATTGCCCTACAGAGCCAGCAACCTAAGGGTGCTTGTATACGTGATGCCATTAGCCTGTACAGGTGACAAAAATGTCACTTTGTGGGGCTTAATGGCATCACAGTGTACACGTACAAGACTTTGGGGGTTTTTAAATGACTTTGGATTGTTGCAAACTAAACTACATCCAGATGTTGTTTAGTCTGCAGTGTTGCAAATTGCAATGATGCAGCTGTCAGCTCGCCCCCCAGCCACCGGGAAAAGCAGGAAAAAAGGTTTGGTCCGCTTGCCGTTTCTGCCTTTAGCAGGCACCTGCTGAAGGCAGAAACAGCAAGGGGCCCAATCTTTTTTTTATTTGGTGGAGGCTGCCAACCTCTCTCGCAGCTGGGGGGTGAGCTGCTGGTGGGCCGAGTGGTCCTGAGCTGCAGGGTGCCCTGGTCCTTCTCTCCATGGTGGTGGTGCCCCCCGGGGCCACCTGGGCGGGCTGCTAGAGGGCTGGGTGCTGCCTCAGCTTGGGATCAGGGAAGAGTTGGATCAGGCCAGGTGCTGCCTCTGATGATGAGAGATAGCAGGTGGGCAGAGGAAGCACAGTAAACACGAAGGGACAGCAAAATGACTGATTAGGGAATAAACGGCTGTCCCAGAATACTAGGCGCTTAGGCACTGTCCTGTATTTTGTAGGTGTAACCCATACAAAGACAGCATTTATTTGCTCTGTTTCCTCTGCATGTGGTGTAGCCAGTACAGATTGATGAGTCTGCAGCTGTCTTGCTGATAACACACCGGGTTCTTTCACTCAAGCAGAGGAAGCATATGCATTATACAAACACTATCCCAGAGCTGAGTTATATAACAGATAGATTAGGCCCTTTCTACCCAACAGGCAATTTCACTAGTTGTTGGCTGATGCCTTGTATGTATTGTTATTATGAGTATTTATACTGGGGTAGTCCCAGTTTTGATTTGGCTTCTCCCACCCCCACACACACACACACACACACACACACACACACACACACACACAGGCTAGGGACAGACATTCAAAAAGCCTGAATTGATTCAATCTTTGCAGGTTAGTCTAACCTGGCTAGGCTGAACCAGTTTGTAAGTGTGCAAACATCCCCTCTGGACTGAAGAAATACAGGCACATGCCTGCAGGCTAGAAGCCGGGGGGGGGGTGCTAAAGCAGCCCTCCCTTCCCATCTACAGTGCTGAGCTGAGGGAGGGCATGGCCAGGCCCTGGCAGGGTGCTCTGATTAGGGAGTGGGTCCCCTCTTCCCCTCTCGCTGCTCCTGACCAGCCCAGCAGGGAGTTGATAACAGCATTTAGCAGCCCATAAAGAAAACAAAAGCCTCTCTCATTTGTTCAAGCTCTTCTTAAACAACTTTTTCCAAGAAAGGAGCATTAACAGCTGAAATGTTGATTAGCTCCAAAAAGCCCTGTCCGGTCTGCTTTTGTCCTGTCTGCCTTACATAGACACCTCTCAGCATTAGCTAACATATCACATGCTGGCTACTGTCCCTGCTGTGGGAAAGGGGAGTGGGGAATCCTTGCTTGAGCAGGGAGTTGGGGGGTGGGGGGAGAGGGAGGACAGGAGGAAGCCAGGCAGACCCTGCTGTGTCTGCCCTCTCTGCCAGAGCTTCAGCCAGGGAGCAGAGGGGCAGGGCCAGCCCTGCTCTCTGGAGCAGACAGCCCAGCCCAGGGCTGAAAAGTATCTCAGATGCTCAGGGACTCTGGTTTAAGTTAAACCAGGAAGAGGTCTGGGACAGACATTGCATAAACAGGTTTGACCCAAATCAGCTAAATCTGATACTACATTCAACCAGGTTTATGTCAAACCAGTTTCAGCCTTTCTCAAACTGGTTTATGTGCGCTGAACATCTGTTCTGTTACAGGTTTAAACCAGTGTCTGATTGGTTAAACCGGTTTATGTGTAATGTCTGTCCATAGCCATACTGATACTGTGAAAGGCAGAAAGAAAGAAAGAAGATGGTTCATGCCCCAAGTAGCTTACAGTCTTGAAACAAGACACAAAACAGGAAGCAAGCCAAGTGTTTCAGTGGAAGTAAGCACAGATTTCCAGTCACCTGCCCCCATAATTCTACCCAATTTATTTCTCTGCATAAATAAAATAATAATTTTGTTATTATGTAACTCTTGTCTGATTTCCCCACCCCCTTTCTTTGTCATAAATTAAAGTGTGATAATGCTGCTAATACCTCTCCCTGTTACCTTAAAGGCCTTCTCTGTATTCAAACTTGCATTATGGCATGATGTGAAACTGGTTTAATTAAACCAATGCAAAGCCTTGTGTAGGCATTCTTGATTCACTTTGAATCTGCCCTTTGTGAGTTAAACCCAATGTCTTACTGAACACAGATACATGGGGTAGGTGGGTTTTGAATGATTAAACTAAAATGAGATAACTCAGGTTTAAATCACATGAATTATGAACCTGCGTAGGTCTGTTCTGACTTTGAATATAGACCAGGCCAGGGACAAGAATATAGACCGGGCCAGGGACAAGTGTGAGAGATTGGAGCCTGTTGGCTTCCTCTGGTTCTTTTCTCTGCATGG